GACCAGTACCGTCTCCGTCCCGTGGCCCGGGCGAAAGCCGGACTGGAAGGGATCGAGGATGGAAGCCTCATCCAAGTAGCCCTGTAGCTGTGATGCCACCGCCCTCTCAATAAGTTTGCCTAAATAAGGCAAATTGGAGACTGGCTGATAGTTGGCCAATTCGGCCGGGTCCAAAGATGGTTTTTTCAAGAGAGGATGGACCATCGCTTCCTTGAGTGCTCTGGGGAACCGTCCCTCAATGAGGGACTTGTTGACAATCTCCCGCAGAGCACCTCGAAACCCCTCATGGCCTGCTTTAACCAGCCAGGAGGGGCACGGATCAAGGTCGCATGTGGTTGGGCGCACAGATACGCTTCCTCCAGGCTGAGTGGGTCAAAACACACTAAACCCGGCCCAAAAGACGTACAAGGGGCCTCAAGTTCCCTAACTGTTTCAATTGTGGCGGGGAGGTCACGGCAGAGTGCCAAGACTTTATCTGCAAAATAGCTCGAAAATGCCTCACAGCCGATATCCAATTCCCTAGCATTTTGCCTGCTCTGAGGCAGAGCTGTCAAAGACCGAATCACACTAAATAATTGGGCCGGGTGTGAGCTAGCAGATACAATCGAGGTTGCATAGAAATCCCTCTTTGTGGCCCTGACTGCCATCACATAGGATCTCATAAACGTCCTGTGGGATGTTCTTGACACTTCGTCTCTCTAGCCATCTCAGGTGCCACGGTCTCTCTAGCCATCTCAGTTCTCGCTTCAGCAAGCGCAGCTCCTGGGTATACCAGGGCGCTCGCCTATCATGAGTGCGGAGAGGGTGCCTGGGAGCGATCTCGTCGATAGCTGAGGAGAGTCGGCAATTCCAATCCTCCACCAGCTCTTCTAACGAGCTGCCAGGGGGCCTCGGATCCCGCAGAGCAAACATTGATGGGTAGCCATGTGTGTGAACAAGATCTTGGAGTATGGGTGGACCGTAAATTAATGAGCAATCAATGCGATGCGGAAACAAAAAAGGCTAATGCGATCTTAGGTTGTATCAACAGAGGCATAACATCCAAATCGCAATATGTGATAGTCCCGCTGTAAACTGCATTGGTCAGGCTGCAACCGGAGTATTATGTACACTTCTGGAGGCCTCACTTCAAAAAGGATGTGGACAGAATGGAGCAGGTACAGAGGAGAGCAACGAGGATGATCGGGGGCCTGGAGACCAAGCCCTAGGAGGAAAGGCTGAGGGACTTGGGAATACTTAGTCTGGAGGAGGTTAAGGGTGGACATGATTACTCTCAGGCCTGTAGCCAGGATTCTGTGTTTTGTGGGGCAATTTTTTTTCTGGTGGTGCTGAATTCTCAATGCAGAAAGAAAAGCCATTTAGCCAATAGAAAGCTGCTACCAGGATGGATCTCTAAACTGCATGCTGTCAACCACTTTAGATGACAGTTCTCAGCTGCTGCAAGTTAATCACTTCTGCCAGCCTAAGCAACTATTCTGAACAAGCTGGCAGGTGAGGATGATGACTTCTATAGTCAAGAAAGATAACACTTAAGCAGAAAAACTTTCTTAAAAGAGACCAGTTTCTTGACACAGTTAGAAGGGATTTTAGAGGTCACCTACTCCAACCCCCTTGCTCAGTGCGGGAATTAGTCAACTACAGCACCCCACTCTGGTTAAAGGAGCACACGCCTTTAAAAATATGTTTTAAATGATTGGAAAAAGCATTTACAGGAGAAATTCTTGTGGGGCTATGCGTTTAAGAAAGGGGATGGCACTCCCAAAAGCCCCACTGCAGCCATGGGTTTGGTTGCTCTCTTTAAGTGTTTGAAGAGCTATCACTTAGAGGAGGGCGGGGCGATGTTCCTGTTGGCAGCAGAGGATAGGACTCGCAATAATGGGTTTAAATTAAGGGTGGGAAGGTACCAGCTGGATATTAGGAAAAACTATTTTACAGAAAGAGTTGTTCAACAGTGGAATCAGCTGCCTGGGGAGGTGGTGAGCTCCCAGGCTTCCCAAGTACTTACAGTGATTCGGCGGGGGACACAGACGTCCTTGCAGGATCATTCCTGCGGGGACAACAGACAACGCCGCACCATGCTGTCGCCAGGAAGTGATGCTGGGTGACGCTCTGGCAATGGGGCTGGAAACTCGATGGTACCATCGAGTTTTCAGTCCCACTGCCAGAGCGTCACCCAGCATCACTTCCTGGCAACGGCATGGTGTGTTACAGGGAGGAAAATGGTCCGGCTGGGGAACATGTTTCCCCCGCCGGATCACGGTAAGTACTTGGGAACCCTATGAGCTCCCCTTCACTGGCAGTCTTTAAGCAGTGTCTGGACAACTTGTCAGGGATGCCCTAGGCTGATTCTGCATTGAGCAGCAGGTTGGACTAGATGGCCTGTATGGCCCCTTCCAACTCTGTGATTCTATGAGTCCATGCCTTTGGGCTGTAGAAAGTGACTCCTCCCACTAAACAATTGCTCGGAATGCTTAGTGCAAAAAATTACATCCTTTAAAAGCTGAACTCAAAATAAAATCAAGCAAACTACGCTTACAATCTTTTAAAAAACTGACCCCTGCATACAAACATGAAAACCCTTGTGATTTTTTTCACACCGGTGAAGTGCAAAAGAGACACGATAGAAATGGGCACATTTTCAGCTGCAGAAATGCCATTGCTGCATCTTTACTTTATCCTATAGTCAGGCCCGAGGCTTACCAGGTGCCCACTAAAGGTGGGCAACCTAGTATGGCTACTGCCTGCCTACACTCAGCTGGTCAGTGGATGGAAGCAGGCTGATGTCATTGTTCAGTGACAACAATTGCTCCTCCCCCCTGCAGTAAGTACCAGCAGACCCCCCACCTCTTGCCAGCTCCTAGCCCCCCTTCACAATGACAATTATGTTGGCACTGAAGAGGCAGCCAGAGAATTAAAAGGAGAGGTAGGCAGAGTGAGCCAACAGAGAACAGATTTTAGGGTTCCATTAAAGGGCAACAAACTGCCATTTGGTTTATTATTATATTTTTACCAGCCTGTAAGGTGTTAACTGGGTTTTCTCCCTCAGGTCCCAAATCATCCCTTGGTCTGTCTCTGGCTAAGGAATGTGGCCATGTGTCAATTCAGGCTATCAACATTCCAGCATACTTACAAGAAAGCACATAAAGTCAAGGGCCAGGACAGTAGGCACCCCTCCGAAGGGCAACCCTTGCAGCACAGTGCTGCGAATGCGGGCACTGTAGCAGTAATCCTTGGTGCTGTTGTTGCAGTTGGAGGATTTGCAGGGGGCCCCTGCCGTGCCCAGGGTGGCTATCACAAAGGGAAGCATCTCTATTACTTCATCGTCTTACCTGCGGAAGGAAGAGAAAAGACCAGTCAGAAGCAAGCAAGAGAATCCCGCCCATCTGGCCCCTCACAGAAGAAGAAAGCCACGGAGGATCTTCAAGGACCAGCTTTCCCACTTTCATCTCCCAGCTCCTCGGGCTTCTCTTCAGTGCTGTAGAGCAGGGGTGTTGAACTCATTTCTTATGAGGGACGGAACTGACATAAACAAGACCTTGTTGGGTTGGGCCATGTGTTTCATAAAATGTAATGCCAGGTAGCGGAGATATAAACTTTATAAAGGACACAAACACAAAGATTTTTTTGTACTTAAAATAAAAATATGCTTAAAACATTAGCTCTATAAGCTGCAAACGTACTTTTGATTATTTGACATTCACCACAGAAATCTCATGCTCACAGTTCTGAGTCTAGGACCCAGGTTAAAACATGAAATGGCTGAGCGATTGAGAGAGTCTGGCAAAGCAAGCTATGATGCAGCAGCAGTAGCAGAACTGGAAGCATGAGATGGCCAGTTCCACTGCGGGCCTGATAGAAGCCCTCCAGGGGCCTGATCCAGCCCCTGGGCCACATGTTTGACACCCCTGCTATAGAGGCTCAAATGAGATACTGGTTGTATATTTTTTATTTGGCAAGCTTTAAGAACATAAGAACATGAGACACCAATGTTGGATCAGGCCAAATGCCCATCCAGTCCAACACTCTGTCACACAGTGGCCAAAAATACCAGGTGCCATTAGGAGGTCCACCAGTGGGGCCAGGACATTAGAAGCCCTCCCACTGTTGACCCCCCCAAGCACCAAGATGACAGAGCATCACTTGCCCCAGAGCCCCTATCTATACCTTGTGGCTAATAGCCACTGATGGACCTCTGCTCCATATGCTTATCTAATTCCCTTTTGAAGCCGTCCATGCTTGCAGCCGCCACCACTTCCTGTGGCTTTGGTTTAGCTTAAAAATGAAGTCGAAACAGGTTACTGGATTGAGAAGCCTGGCAACCTTCAGTGCAAGAGGGCATCCTTTCAGTGCCGGAAACTATCAAAAGTTGAGGTAAATAGAAAACTGTGCAGCTGGTAAGAAGGTGCTCATGACTCCCTCCCGTTGTGCAACATGGGATAAAACTGAAGATTTCTAAAGTGGTGAAATTAGTTCCTATGCTCACGAACACCCAAGGAGATTCTCACTGAAGGATGCACATCCATTCTAGCACCCTGTTTTCTAGAGCTATCAGTCAGAGGCCTCCAAGGAACCCCAAGCAGGGGAGGTAATAGCTAGCTCATGAATGTTTACTTGAGAAATTATTTCCTCATTGTATTAATGTTCAATGGAAAGAGGTATTTTCTTGAAATATGAAATTTTTACCAAATAACATCTCTGGACTTAAGCTCACTGTTTTTTGCCCCAACAAGTCTTACCTTATTCTGCCCCAACAAGTCTTACCTCTCCTATGGCATTTACCCAAGTGCCCTTCCTTTTGTTAGTCACACTACAGGATTAATATGTTCACAGATGGCCAGATTAAAACATGAAAAGGAACATGTTACAATGCTAAAGACTGGAAGGAAAACTGCGGTGTACTCATGACATCAGACACTCTGTAAAAGTAACTAATTAAAAAAAAAATCATGCAGAGTCCATAAAGCAGTTTTTATGCATTCTGGAACATCTCACTAGTTTGGAAACACTCAAGAGATCTACAAAGGGTATTCGGCCATTTTCTTAAATGCTTTAGTATTGAACTAAGAATGTGAAATGATCCTAATCCTGACATTTGTATGCTCTCACACACACACCCAGCACACAAGTGAAATTATTCTATGATAGTGCAGGAAAACCCAACACTAGCCAAGTGTACAATTTGTTCTGTACAACTGGACAGAACACATGGACACAGCTTCTCCTTTTCTTTAAGTGGAGACCAAATAATTTGCAAAAAAAGAAGGAAGTAGCTACTTCGAGTCCAAGGGAATGAGAAAAAGTGTGAACATTTGTGCTTCTTAGAGCAATTCTGAAGCCTACTTAACGTCTAAATCTAACCACAGAACAAATGGGAATGACAGACTCCTTAGATCTAGCGTGGAACAATGACGAATGCCTAGAAAAATAGAGCCACTTGTCCAAGTTTCACACAGTCCCAGCCTGAAAACCACATCAGCATCCCAGCAGCACTATTTTCTGGTTGGTAATGATTTATGCTTTGCTGCAGAGCCTGTGCTGTTATATCACATGACCTCTTCCCCACCTTTCCCAAGTTAATGTCTAAGGACCTGAATGAGGCAGGCTTACATGGACTCAAGCTGGTAGAGAATGGTAAACAAAAAGCCACGCAGAGTATTGATTGGCAAGCGGGGTCTTCAGGGAATCACCACAAGGCTGGGACTTCACTTACTTAATAGGAGACACAAAGGATCTGGGAAGGGAGCCAGGTAGCACATTAAATTAAATCCAGGAGATGAAGCAAGAAGATAGGGAGATGCTGCCATAGCTATGGATGAATGATGAGACACACACACACAAAAAAGCAGAACGGCAGCACTGAGCTTTGGGACAGCGAGTGGGAGCAAATACTGCAAGATTCCATTTGGTAAAATTAATGAGACAGATACCAGTGGGAAGCCAGAGGGATGGAGAAACTGTGAGTAATCTGGGAGGAGAGGAGAGTGTGTGGACAGCAGGTGTGGAGAGATGGGAATCGGCAGAGCTTTTCAGTGGCGAGAAGGAGACTCTGATGAGACAGGGGCACCACTGGGGCAAGACTAAATGCACAGAAGCTCTTATTCAGGAGCCTAGACATGGTTCTAAAATACGAGGCACACATTTATGGGAAGGGGATTTTGGTACCCAGCATTAGCCAAGGCTGACACACATTTCACAAGGAGGTTCTCCTATACAACCTTTGATCATAGGAGGCTGTGACCCATGTGAGAGTGCAAGCAGGGGTGCATCCTTTGGGATGTGGAGCAGCCACCCTGCACAGAATTTCTATAAAGCCCAATTCAATGAACAGGATGGATATATGTACAGCATTTATACAGCCTATTGAATAAATGCTCAGAGTACTTCTTATGAATTCCCAGTCATCTCTGAACAGTTCTGCAAGGCAATGCAACATTAGCAACCCCATACCACAGAAGCATGTTCGTTGCATCTATGACACTGTCTAACCATCTCATCTTTTGCCGTCCCCTTCTAGCTGACAGCTAGTGCAGTGTGGTGGTTAGAGTGTCTGATCCGGATCTAGGAGATGCTGGTTCAAGTCCCCACTCTGCCATGGAAGCCTGCTAGATGACCTTGGGCCGAGACACACATACTCAGCCTAACCTACCCCACTGATTTTTTTGTGAGAACAAAGTGGAGGAGAAAAGAATGATGAAAGCCACTTTGGGATCCCACTGGAGAGAAAGATGGGGTATAAATGAAGTACCGCAACCCTAGAGTCGGACTTGACTGGCTTTCGAGCAAGGGAACCTTTACCTTTTACCTTTACCACAGAAGCAGGGCAGATATTGGCTTGCTTAAAGACACCCAGAAGTTTTGAGCCAGGGGCTTCTAGCTGACAGATAGTGCAGTGGGGTGGTTAGAGTGTCTGATCCGGATCTAGGAGATCCTGGTTCAAGTCCCCACTCTGCCATGGAAGCCTGCTAGATGACCTTGGGCCGAGACACACATACTCAGCCTAACCTACCCCACTGATTTTTTTGTGAGAACAAAGTGGAGGAGAAAAGAATGATGAAAGCCACTTTGGGATCCCACTGGAGAGAAAGATGGGGTATAAATGAAGTAGATAAATACTTCTTTACAAAGCAAGTGTTTAAAATGTGAAATTCACTGCCAGAGGATGTAGTGATGGCCACAAGAATGGACAACTTTAAAAGCAGCTTAGATAGATTCATCAAGGATAGGTCTGTCAGTGGCTACTAGCCATGGTGACTGAGGGGAACCTCCAAGTTCAGAGGCATCTAGCCTCTGAATCCCAGTGCCAGGAGGCAACACTAGGGGAAGAACTTGGCTTCCAAGCCCTGTTGTTGGCCCTCCAGATGACCTGATTGCCCACTGTGTGAGACACGATGCAGGACTAGATGGACCACTGGTCTGATCCAGCAGGGTTCTTCTTATATTAACAGATAACACTCTTTACCATCACAATGTAACACAGTACTAGCCATGGACCCCAATCCAGCAGGGATTCCATTATGTTGTTGATTTGGCGTAACAGCTGATTTAAGCTCTTGTAATCCCCAGTGAGACTGTTTCCTTTTTCTTGTGAAGTCAGGATACATGCAGGGAGGGCTGAATGAACGAATCATTCAGAGAATAATCAGGCAATATGGTGCTGGTGGCTTAACAGTGCAATGGCAACTTACCCTTTAGACCAGTCCGCAATTAACCCTAATGACAACATTAGAAAATGCTTTCTCCTTAAAAAGCAAGCTACAAGTCTCTGTAAATCAGTGCCAGAACAGGGCCCTGATCACCAGCCATGTATCTGAGTTTCCTTGCATTGCTTTCTCCTTAAAAAGCAAGCTACAAGTCTCTGTAAATTAGTGCCAAAACAGGGCCCTGACCATGTATCTGAGTTTCCTTGCATCTTGGGGTTACTTGGTTACACCAATGACTTCCTTCAAGATCTTTCCATGGAACTTTGAAAACTACATGTTAAATAGTCTCATCCTACTTGGTCACAGTGACATGGATGAATGGTTATTATGGCCAATTAGGTACAAATCAGAAGTTCAAAGTTCTTTGAGAGAGACAGCCAAGATACCAGAGCAAAGAAGGATATTTGGTGAGACAGCAGTTTAAATTCCCCTGGGCCAGACCGGTTTTGCTCAGTGATCAAGGGAAGGTGAATCTAGAGGTTCATGCCCCAAACCAGCTTGTGTGGGGTGTTACGATATGAGCCTATGTTTGTGTTTCTGTATAGTGGTGATGCTGTCTATGTGTGTCTATGCATTGTGTATTCAGGGACTGCTGTTTGGTTGTGTTGCTTTGTTCTGCATCTCATGCT